GCGGCCGGAAATAGCCGAGCGTGGCCGAAAGTAGCCGAAGCTGGCCGAGGAGCCGAGTGCAGCCGAACGGAGTCGAGCTCTGCCGAGCGCAGCAGCCCGGGCGGGGCGCCGAGGCGGAGCCGGGGCGCCGGGAGGATCACCTCCTGTCCCTCTCTCTCCCGCTCCATGCTCCTGCCCGTATTCCCCTCAGTTATCTCTCTTTCCCCCGTTTCCATGTCCCCCCCAAACCCGGCTCCTTCCTGTCCTGTCCCTGCCCCGCTGCTCCGTTCCATTCCCCCTCTCTCCCTCCTCTGTGCCCCGTCCCTCTTGCTGCCCTGCCGGCCTTTCCCTTCCCCGCCCGCTTTCCTCCGCAGCCCGACCTTCCTCCCCGCCCTTTCGCATGTCCCGCTCTCCCTCCTCTCTTCCCGTCGCCCCTTCGCTTCTTTCCCCCGCAGCCGCGGGGCTCGGGTCGCCGGAGAATAAAGCCCCGAGGGCCGGAGCCCGGTGCCCCCCGGGCCTTGCTGGAGTCCCCGCACGGGGTCGGAGCTCTCGGCGGATCCCCCGCGCCGCTCGGACCCCGCCCCGGCGCTGCCGGACCTGCGGCTCCGCCGGCATCGCGCTGCGAGCGGCCCCCGCTCCGTGCCGTGCCGGCCGTGCCGCGTCCCCGCCGCCTCTGCCGCTCCCTCTCTCTGCCCCTGGCCCGCGACAGCGAGGCGGGGCGGGAGCTTCGAGCCTTCTGGGGGCTGCCCCCACCTTTCTTGTTGCGGCGGAGTCCCTTTCTGGGGGAAGGAGGTGTGGGAAGGGCTGGAAGGGAGTGCTGGGCTGCTGGTCGGGGCAGTTGGACTCGTCCTGTGCCTTCTTCGGGGGTCAGGGTTAGGGGCTGAAGACTCGGGGCTCTGATGTCATTTGGGGCACCCCAAGGTCCCCAGGAGAGGGACTCACACTGCGGTGGAGGAGCGGGTGGGTGGCAAATGAGGGGAGGGGGTCACGCTGGGTGCCGTCCCGCAGAGGGACCCAAAGCTGCCCCAAAATTCCCAGGGAGGAGTGTGTGTACAATACTAAAACCTGGCAAGTGTTTCGTTTTCACAGCTATTGGTAAAGAATAGGAAGCTATGGCTAAACTCATTTGGAAAGAAGCCCTCTCTCGATCCACTCATTTGTATGCAGGAATGTAGGAAACTCTGACTGGGGATGGGCAGTAGTTTTGAAAATCATGCCCTAGCCTTTTTCTCTAGGAACGAACCAAGCGAGTGCCCTGAAACCAGCGGAGCAGCTGCAGGGGCTGAAGGGAACAGAAAAGGGCTCCCGGCACCTTTTCCCTCCGTTCTCTGCCATTCCCCAAAA